AAGAACTCTAGCCCATGGGAAAAGATCGAGACCTTGTCTTCGTTTTTGGACTAGCAGGCCGAGTTTCTGTTTGTATCCATTATTGTCGCGAAATGTATTATTTTTCCCCGCGCAAACAATGGCCGCTCGCGCGAAAAAAACAATTTCTGGCGAAGTCGGATTTGCTGACGCTATCAGCGTGCGCTATCGGGATTTTGAGCACGCTTACGTATAATGAATTTGATTGCGCGACTCTGTTAGCTATGTTCTAAATTCAAATGGACCATTTGATTATACCCGGCCTTAGCAACATTAGTGAATCATAAACTCCTTTGTACTCTGTCATCTTTCAATATCACTTACGGCAAAATTAATTGCTAATACCTCTTCATTAACAGGAGACGTCTGGTGGTGATAAAAAGCAGCCGCTAGCTATCAGTTTCAAGTAGATGCAAACACGCGATGAAAGCATGAAATTTTTATGAGCTACAGGCTATAGGTTATCACTACTGAAAGAGAAGTTTATTTTAATACTTCCCTCCCTCCTTTAGAAGATTGAATAAGCCTGAAGCAGCACTGAGTTGATTAGACACATCAAGCGTTAGAGAAGAGACGATGGTAGATCTTTAATTTTTTTCACGATTTTATTTTAAATCCTAAAGCTGTGTGCGCAAGTTTAACAACCGTTCCGTTGGTACTAAAAAAAGCGGAATTGAAAACTGTCCGTTTGTATCAGCTGCGTGGATATCAAACAAACGGAGAAATTGAGTATCGACACTAAAAGTAACTTTGTGTTTTCTTTAATGGTGCAGATCACAATATGAACTTTACTGACATGAACAATGACCATACAGAATCTTCTCACTCAGGCGAAGAAAATGAAAGAACTATAACTATCATAAACTCAGCGCTAAACGTTCCATTGATACTGATGTCAATTTTAGGAAACGGTTTAGTCGTGGTCATTATAATGAAAAATCGTAGTCTTCAATCTCCATCCATGACATTTCTGTTCAGCCTGGCGCTATCAGACCTTCTTGTCGGTTTGGTCGCACAACCTCTTTATATCGCGAATACCTTGACAACTAACATTCATTCTTTAAGACTTGCAACAGGTATGATGGCTTTTTTCCTCTGTGGAGTGTCACTGGATACGGTAACAGCCATTAGTGTGGATCGCCTCATGGCGCTCACGTATCACCTAAGATACCCTAGCTTGGTGACTCCGAATCGAGTAAGATACACGATAATGCTGATTTGGTTGTCCAAAGCCCTAACGTCAAGTCTTTACCTTTGGAAGATGCGCGAATGTCATTTCGTAGTTGCCTTTACCACTGTAATGAGTCTTATTATTTCGACATTGTCGTACCTCAAAATCTATGGCATAGTTCGTCACCACAGGTTGCGCATTGACGCGCAGCAACAGGCGTTCCGAGGCAATTCCAACGCAGAAAACGTTGCGCACATGGAACGTTTGAAGAGAAGTGCATTGAATATGTTTGTGTTCTACATTGTCTTGATTTTATGCTACTTCCCCATGTATATATTATCTACTCTTCACGGAGCCTCTTTACTGAATTGGAAAACCAAATGGGACTTTGTTCATACCGCCGTGTTCATGAACTCCTCCATTAATCCAATTTTATACTGCTGGCGGCTTCCCGAACTTAGAGCAGCAGTTGTAAAGATATTGCGCAAGATATTCCGCGTTCAAACACATCAAAACTGAATGACAACATTTGCTCAATTTATAGAAAGTCAATCTCTACTTGAGAATATTCGTTCCTCCTTCTGCTAAACCTAGTTAATGGCACATCTTATCGCATAAATATGTGAATATAGTGGCTTAATTTTAAGCTAAACTTTAGCAAACAAAGTAAAGGTGAGAAAACGTTTATCCTCTGAGTTAAACGATAGCATTCTATCTACTTTGGAAAAAGGTTTTAATTTTGAAGAATTTGCGAATTATTCTCGATCCTCAGAAAGGCGATCTGCCGCAAAACATCGTCGTAAAATTTCGCCGCTATCAGTCCACTAAGAAAAAGACCGCTTAAAAACCGTCGAGCAGTTTGGCTGTGAGAAAGCAAAACATTAACATTCATTTTAAGTTGAAAAAAAAAACAGAGCTTAGACAAATATTTACCATCGAAAACAGAAGTACACGATCAAATGGAATTCAGTGAAATATACTCAACCGCGAAATTGACCTCGTTATAAAAAATGAAAATCTCTCGTTTCGGTTTCCTTCCGACACTAAGTTTCTTCTGCTTGGATATTGGAAGAGTTATATCCCTTGCCAAAACCCAGAGCTCTTGATTGGGAAATATTTTTTCCAGAAACAGAAACAAAATATCTCGTTGGTCAGCGAAATAAACTCTGCCCCCACAAGATTTTCGTGACATTCGTTATAAATTACATTTAAAGTTGGCTGTAGGGTATATATATTATTCTCAGTCAAAAAGATTTGTTGAGGCTATCATCAACAAAATATACAAAACTTTTAAGAATTTCTTGGATAGAATTTAGAGAAAAATAGAGTTAAGCAGTAAGCATTTCAATTCTCTCAACAAACAGAAGTTTTTTTTCAAGTTGAAAATTCAAGTTTGCTCTATGGATGTTAATGTCAATGGATGTAAGATAAAATCGTTTAGTATAATTTTATTTACATAACAGGCTTTATCAGTTGCTTATGCAAAACCATGATGGGAACAAATTCAAGGATGAGGAAGGAGCTATCTTCTGAATAGAAACAGGTTAATTCTCCAAAAAATAAAGTTAGCTCGGGGGTTAGCAGCAAATCCGAGTGAATTTGAAGTCGCAGCTGGGCACACATTAATAACATAAATATAAAGGAGTTTAATTAATGCTAAGGATTAATTCACTTCAAGATAACATATCGGGTGCTTCTACCTGCTGTTTTAATAAATTTAGATCTGTTCAAGATAAATAGAAACTTTATATTCTCTTGATTTAGATCTAGAGCGCCGATAATTTCAGAACCAAGTAGCGGATTAACAGATATACCATTTTTTTTTTATGAAAGCGCTAAACATATTTTATAAGTGTTAGAAGATGCTTCGAAATGTTTTGTAGAATACACGGTGATGGAAACAGAAGGCAAAAGGTTTTCCTTTCAGTTCTGAGGTTTTATAATTCAAAAGTGAGTTCCACTTGATTTGACCTCCTAAAGATAGAAACAGTGTAATGTTTAAGAAGGGATAGAAAAAAAGGAGATGATGAAGAACAAGATATCAACTGCGATTGTTTTGTAACTCCAGGTTGAGATTATTGATCAACTCCGTGCTGAGATTATTAAATAACTCGAAGCGCTGACAATTTCTGACACATCCTAAAGGTTCATCAGTTTGCCAAATAATGATAAAAAAAAAACAAATCAAATAATACCACTATTTATCTTAATCTATTGACCAGCTCCTGGCAATGCGTAAATGACTTCTACCGACAATTAATTCTTAGTTGGTCGCCAATTATCGAAGTTAGAGTTTGCATTTTTAAAGCATCTGGTTTAAAACGTCAAAAAGATGAGACCTTTGAAGTGTTCAGAGGAGTTCTTTCTTGGGGGGAGGCAGGGGTGAAGTTAGGCTCGATTACCAGCCGCTGTTCGAGAACCGGAGCCCTCGCTCCTCCCCGAAAAGACCGGACCCGAGAGAACGGTGGAAATCGAGCCTAGGGTGGAGTCAGACCGTCTGCTAACCTGATCAGCGTGCTTAACTGAACATCATGTCGACCGTGACATGCATGTTATTTATTTTCCTTAAAGTGACATCTTGTGGAATGAGCATCGAGTAATTCATGCTGTATAGGATCGGGTTCGCGCTTTATAACACCTTGCATCTCACAAGAGTGGAGGGGGGGGGATCGGTCAAAAAGAAACCCAGGACCCCCATAGCTGCACCCTAACCAGCGGATCATAAATGCCATAATCAAGCTGTCGAAGGAGAAAACCGCTACTTGAAACGGTGGGAAGTGTAGAAACCCCCCCTTTGGTACCCAGGGGAACTCTCCCTCATCTGGTATTATGATGGAAAACCACCGACCAACATCCACGGAGGTTGTCAAATCGTCAGTCACTACTTATGGACGATCAGGCTGAACGCTCGAAAGAATAAATGATGGAAGGAAATGTAAAAGCTAAAATTTGATGGGCAGTAAGTGAGCCAAAATAATGTAATATCTCCTTTGAAGAAAATTCACTTCAATTGAAAATTCCCCAACCCCTCCCCTGCCAGTATCGAGTTAACCTCGATTTCAATCTGACGAAAGGATGTCTTGTTCTTAGTGCGAGAGAGTCACAACTCTCGCGTGCAATATCCTGATTGAAACAAAGAATATGGCCGATCAAAAGCGTCTAAATGAAGAAAAAAAGGCAGTGAAAAGCTTGCAGAAGCGGAATATCACATTAAAGAAGTGTTTAAAATCCTACAGGACGAAACAACAAGACTTCGCCAAGAGCAGGAAGCTGTCGACGCCATATCGAAGAAATTGGAACGTGTTCACTTTTCTTCTACCGTAGAACTCAATGTCGGAGGACACACCTTCACAACAAGCGTTCAAACGCTGACCAAGGATCCAAACTCCATGTTGGCTGCTATGTTTTCAGGGAAATTTGAAATGAAGCCTGCTGAAGACGGCCCTTTCTTTATCGATCGAGACGGAACTCACTTCCGGTTTATACTCAATTATCTCCGCACTGGAAGATTAACTTTGCGAGAAGGAGCAACATTTCTGAAAGAACTTGCAGAAGAAGCTGAGTTTTATCAGATCCAAGGAATAATCGACGAGATGAAGTCCACTAAAACTGAAATTCAAGCGGTTAGACCTTTGAACAATCCTTTTGAAGTATCGGACATATTAACAAATGAAGATCATCGGCGGATATTGTTGAGTTGGTTGTCTGAGTTTCGCGGAAAGTGGCGTCTTCTGCACCGCGCTACTCGAGATGGTTTCGAAGCCGCAAACTTTCACGCCAATTGTGACGACAAAGGACCCACGGTTACCATCGTAAAGAGTGGAAACAACGTTTTCGGAGGATTTACAGAGGTGTCATGGCAAAGTAAGTTTGTGTAGACCAAAATAACTCGACTTTTATCCTCTCCGAAGCACGAGATAATGTGACTGATCTAGTCTTCAGTCATACCGTACAATTGGCAACTAATGTTTCATTTTCTGCTCAAAACTGATTTCTCTCAACAAGCTTTTGTCAATCTTTTCACTTTTTTCCCTCATTCCGTCAGGTTAAGCCGCTGATATTGGCCTGCGAAACAAAATTGCGAGAGCGATAAATTTGAGTATGAACGCAAAGATTTTTGAAATCATTGTCCCTATTGTAGGACCTCTGAATAGCGAAGGGAAGTCAATCGAGAATTGTTTGTCGCTTGAGGTCGGTCGATACAAAATTCGACTGTATAAACAGAATTTCATCGCCATGTAAAATGGCAAATTGTTTATTCGTGACGCTTGATTAGGCCAAATTTAATGTGACTCATGAACTTTACAGAATTGCGAGCGTGATTTGTGAGGCGTGATTTGCCTCTTTATACGTGACTAGTAACCCACGTCGATGAAAACTTTATTCTGTTCTTGTTTAGAGTACAAACAATAGCGTTTACATACGTATCATCATTTTACGTCAAAGGAGAAGATATTGAGAGATTTTTCTTTCAAATGATTACTATAGACGGAAGAAGTAATTTGAAAAGTTCAGTGGTAGGTCATTTTGAAAGGTCAATGTTAACGAGACACTGAAACTTAATTGAACGCACAAAAGATATCGAATTGTTAGCGTCTTCCATCGTTCGGACCATACAGTGGTTTACTGATACTTTTTTGGGCAAGCTGGAGAGCTTTCCCGATTGTTAGGCTAGAAAGAAAGGAGAAGCGTATTTTATGAGAAAAGTTTAGTTTTGTCACCCGGCTCACACCGAAGTGTCTTTTCTCAATCTCTGCATAAATCGGTTTCACGTAGGCTGATGATACAATTGACAAATTGCAACTGCTCACTATCTTATAGTCATTCAGAATTCTAGGCCAAGTTTTCTGAGTAATCCTCGAGACAAGTCGAACAAAAATGATCGCATGATTTTTGGTGCTCATAAGGAGAGTTGTCTATCACGATGCATATTCTCTTGTCAACGCACGAGCGCAGTAAGTTTTTTTTTTTAAATGCGGATATTACGATTAATTTGAAACTTAACTTCATTATTAGGTGGGCCAGATCGAGGTTACACATCATGTACCAAGGCATTCTTGTTCAGTTTGGACAATCCACTAGGCCTGGAGCCAACTAAAATGCCACTGAAGGATTCATACCAACAGCTTTCCGCCATGAAATGTCGCAGTGATTATGGACCAACGTTTGGCAACGGACACGATCTCCATATCTCAGGACGCAGCGGTTCGATTTATCTTGACTGCTCTTATGAATGTCCTCCTGACCTAGGAGACCAACAGAGTAGATTCTTTACGGGGAGTGGACGTTTCCAAATAACAAAGTATGAAGTGTTTGGGATCCTTTGACTCAAACATAACACTGGGATATACAATATATAGGAGCTCTTTTAAATGAATACCTCATTTTATACTATTCCAATCAGAGATTTTTTGAAAAATGAGACTTTAAGGCAATAGAATGCTGGAGTAAAATTCTTCATTACCAGTGGAGTGTATATCAATATCTTGAATGAATGAAAATCAATTGGAACCCCACCATACCACCAACTTGTTCATCCCGGTATTACAACCACTTTTTATTTATTTGTGTCGAGCTCAAATCAAATCTTTTATCTCTTTTATCATGTTACCACGAACAACGCACGCCTTTTGCTTCTCAGTGTCATCTGTGTTACCCCGTAAATACGACCAAGTTTGGAGGGCATGAAAAGTGCCTCAAATAACTTCCGGCGTAGCAAAAAGCAATTCTAGCTACCTGAGCGCTCTACGAACTACCCAGTGCTTCACATTTTGAACTTATGGCACTTAACATTTTTGACGCACGAATTCAATCGTTTTAAAGCATTTTCGACACGGAAGTTGAGAAGTGTTGTCTGAAGCGAGGTTCTCGCCTTTCTACTCTTCAATACACAACCCTAACATCCTCACGTGAAGGAGGCCATCCTTGTCCTGAGATCAAAACGACCGCAACAAACTACTGCGTGGCCTAAGTACAAAGAAATAGATTGGAAAAAAAACTATGTACGTTAACATTATTCGAGAGAACATACCGAGTATCTTAGATACCTTGATCCTCACATAATCCACGTGGTCATTAAAGGA